GTTTTTAACAACTTAAAACGATGTAAAAAAATATTTTGAAAAAAGTAAATACTTTTAGAGATAATTAGTGTACCCACTTAAAARAATCAACCCTGTATATTATATGATATCGGCTTTCTGCTGTTTATTCCATCCGAATATAATAAAAYAGTACCGAAAAAAGGCAATAATTCATTTATAGTTGTACATTTTTGTTTTCGAAGTTTTTGAAGAAAACCGGATGCGATGATCTGAGGGATAAAGATGATAAAACAAAAAAGACAAGGACGAGATGGAGCGTTCTGTATACGATTTCACGATTCGTTATATAAATTGAACTTATCGAGGCTTTCCGGAATCCTTTCTATGATGGGAAAACGAATAAAAGTATTATTGTTATTATTCACCATACACTTCGTGCATGTGCACAGGGTACCTGTTTGTGTGTGTTGGTGATGTGTGAGGGGAGGGGTTGCATGGTGTTATAATGTGTCGTTGTAAAGCCGATTAGCGGTGTTTACGACGCGCTGTGTGACGTTTACGTCGTCGGCAGTTCTGGCCTTGCACTACGCTGCAAAGGTGGCGATGACTCACACCGGACCGATGACGAGGACGAAAACGACGAAGACGAAATCCATCTTCTCTCGCGTGGTGTTATGTCATGGTKKGGGAGGGGGGTAGCTGTTGAGGACAAAACTCATCGGAGCAAACAAAATGKCAAAAATATGCAAAATGAAAACACCCAGTTAACCGACGAGACAAAATGGATATATTCTTATACCTGCAGCAGCGGTGGCGGGTATTATAGGTGGTGCAGGTGTGCAGGAGTCGGCGCGGCGGCGGTTGACAAAAGAATACGGCGTCGAGGTGGGTGAGCGTGGTTAGTGTTGGGTGTGTGTGGGTGAGGGTGTGGAGGGTGAGGGGCAAACAAAAACTAAAAAAAAAAAAAAAATGTACATATATATAAAATATTATACCTATGTGTGCGTGTGTTTGTATGTGTACCAAGCGCAAGCGTCACGCCCACGCCGCGCCGTCGTGTCGGTGGCCTCTCCGGCGGCGCGGCGCTGCTCGGAGGGATTGCGGCCGACGGCGCCGAAAAACCGACCAGTTGCTCGACACGTATTGTCACTGCCACCGYCGCCAACGACCAGTGAACGCCGCGCGTGTGTTGTGTTCGAGTGCGTCCGGTGTCCACGTTGTGACCGCCAACGTTCGCATGTTTTGCACAACAACGTAATATTATTTTTATAATTTGTTCCGGAAGACTTTCGGCTGAGTTACAATACTATTAATATAGGTAGGTGCATTTACCGRCAATAGAATAATATACACGTAATATACTCCGGTWTAGGTCACACCGTATAAATTGCATGCTCATTAAAGTATAGTTATATTGTATTAAATATATATCATATATTGTGTATTTTATTTGGTTGTGTGTTCGATCTGTTTTTCGTGGTTTCTTGGATTTCGTAACCACAAATTCATAATTCGTAATTACGTATCGGTGTCTAGACAAAGCTGGTGGATTGTTTGAAACGACTTCGATACTATAAATACTATCGACATCGGATCTTCGGATATCTTCGCRCTACACAATAATTKTCTATTTCCATCGATGAGCTCCCACCAATGTGCGCATCATATCTATAGCAATTAATAAAATACTATTATATATATAAAAAAAAAAGGATTTATATTACATTTTATACATGTATATAAATATATTATTATTATTAGTATTGTTCGCGTGACGTCACAGTGTCGTCGTCCGCTGTTCGTATTGTGTAGTGTTCGATTTATATACAACAAATATCGATTCAATTGTATATTAATCTGCTTGATTAATTGCTGATTTAGGTAGGYGATTACAATTTGTTTATTTTATATTCGTGCCGTGGCAATTGTTAATTGTTTTCAYGATAAATCTTTTCGTTTTCTAGTCACGATCAAAAATGATGACAATAGATTGTTTTTTTTTTCTCATTACCATCGAAAGAAAAATATACGGTGGTGCGTACCTATATAGGTGAATTTTAATCATCTACTAAAAAATACGACGAAATGATCAAAAATTAATTTTATGATAGAATTAACTTTAAAAAAAAGAAAACGTATTCCGACACGGAATTATATAGGTAATTTACAAATTTTGCCACTGCCTGATATTAGGTACACGTTATTTACACGAATAATAATAACATGAAATCAGATTATAAAAACATCGTTTCAACAATTTCATATTATATCAGATTGCTCCATAAATTCCGGTTAAATGAACATGATAATAATATCTGTCTCGGTTACAAACACTGCATTCGTTATTAGTTGTAATTACTTATTAGTTATTAGTTATTTTCAAAAAAAAAAGAAAATTAAAACGCACATTATAGTAATATTTTTAATATATTAAATATTTCATATAAAAATAGTATCTTAAAGTATTTATTTAAAGAGAAACACACAGTATAGCTTTATTGATTTGAAAATATAAAATAATAATAATAAAAATATATAACTGTCAGYAATCTATCTGTTTATTATTAATTTAGAAAATCTATTAGGTGCAAGTTCGTATGCCTACGCCATGACTTCATGAGTAACAAATCTCTAGTTAATTCATTTAATTACGTAAATGTTTTAAATATTATAATATATTATATTGTGAGCATTAATCAAATACAATTATTATTTAATGCTTGGTATAACTTTACTATTCTGAGTAAATCAAACACCTTTAAAATTATATTAATGTTTTATGATTGTTTCGATCATTATTGAATACCTGCTAAATACAACTGTACTGTTTAGACATACGTACGTGCCACAGGCTACGAAAGTCGTGGTAGTGGTAAATGACCATTTCTGAGTGCGTTCTATAATAATAATTATAGTTATCATTTGTGCATATTGAACGGCTTTTGCTATTTTCATTTTGTTAAAAATATTGCAGTGTTAGGGGTTGAAAACATAAATAAAAATTACACTGCTATATAGGGTTTTGAATTAGATTTTAACTATTGGATCTTTAACTGTACAATAATTGTGGGATTTAGAATAAGCTAAAAAGCAAAAATTCGTATCGTATAAATTTATAATAGTTAATTATATTTAATAATAATATTATATGTATTTATACAACGTATTTTTACATATTATTTGTATTTATTACAAATAATAGAAATCTCCGTGTTTTTCATTGAGATTAATTTTCGATATCATCCCGTATAAATTATTATAATATGTGATGAAATAAGACTAGAACATTTTGTTTTGTTATTTTGCATAATATTATTTTAAGTGCCGCCAATTGACATCTTTCAAATGTACTATTTAGTTTTATATTTTATATAGATTTCTATCGGTACTAAGCCCGGCAACTAYAGCTATTAAATGTTTGTWGTGGGAAACAGTTGATTTGGAACATATTTTATTGTATGTGTGGCAAGAATTTTGTTGCTAAAAATCCCTGATGGTCGCCTATCCGGAGCTAGCAACGCCAGCCAGTGCATATCACTCAGAGCGCGAATAAAACTGAGTGTAGACATCGGGTCACATCAAGCCTTTTTCAATTTTATTCGCAACAAAAAAATGTATATTTAATTTATAATACTATTGTTTCTAAAGGTATGTGTCAAAAATTCTCGCAAATCAATTATAATATAAAAGTTATAATTTAGATAACCATAATAATATAACAGTKTCGTTGTATAATAAATAAAAAATATAATAAATAAACACTAAAAATGCAATAGTAAAATGATGCGCTTGTCCATTTTTTTTTTCGCTTATATTATATTAATAAATATATTATAAATTTATTAAAGTAAAGGATATAGTATAAAAAAAAAAGTATACACGATGTTCCTCATGTAATGGTTTTTTTTTCGTTTTTTTGTCCGTATTGTTTATTATTTTTATATTATAAATTTATTAAACAATAAATATATTAGGCATACTGTAATAATAATATAAAGGCTCTAAAATTTATTATTAAGCCCGTCGGAGATGGTGTGGGCGTTGAGGGGATTCCGTTGGCGGTGGAGGGCCGTATGTCATGGCGTGGCCCTTAGCAAATGGCCTTGCAGGTCGTGGCCRCCTTACGACGGCACTTTGATCACCTCGTATGTTGTGCCATTGTGGCTGCCACAGCCTGAAGCCAGCTTATTCAGCTCAAGCATGCTGGTCATCAGCGCTTTGCCGTTCATAATAGCTAGCGCGGCCAGCTTAATCGGCAACAGAGTTCCGGCCACCATCATTGCGCCCATAAACTGCGATCCCGCATATTTGTCTTTCTTGTCTCGCGCTGAAACAGCTACAAAAACGGTTTATTACTAATTTTATCATCAGAATTTTACGAGAAATTAATATCAATGTATATCGATAACTAAAAAACTTCGAAAACTCAAATTTTGTTATTGTCCCTTTAAGTAATTGCTTGAGGTATAAATACGTAACTCGAATTTATTTTTAATATTCATCTTTAGGTTTGAGTTGCCGTGACTTGATTGTATTAATAATATTRTTTGTAGCTTGGTGAGGCTGGGTCGTTCACACAATTTGTGAAAACTCACTGTACCTATGTACCGGCCGCAGTTGCTAACTCCCGGATGGGTGACCGCCCGGGATTTTTAGCAATACATACCTGCTACACATACATAAATATGGACCTTACCAACAATACCAACATAAAAACCTAAAAACAAAATAAACAAAAAAAACCCTACCGTAGCGCCCCACACCCAATGGCCTATGTTGCCGTGGGTTCCTATACTAATAAAAATAAATAATAGTAATATAACCTATCGTTGTTGTTTTATGTCGATACAGGTATGAATTMTAATGGTGAGAATATTCAAAGTAGCTAATGTTTTCCGAATAGAATGACGAGAGCATTGTTTTACTATAAGTGAGAGGGAGGTTATAATATTAGTATATCCCGTATAGTCAGCACCAGGGGATGACAAATAGGATTTTTTTAACGTGCCAATTTATGATATGATTTAAAAAAAAATTTCAGCCGTGCCATTACTTAAAAATCTATAAATATATGTATATGGACAAATGAAAGCTTTTCGAGTGCCGTTGAAAATCTCATGCGTGTCAAGGTTGACAAGTATGACACTTATTTACCATCCCTSAAATATTTATTCATTAGCAAAAAAATAATAATAACTAATTAAAGTTAAATTTAATACCAAATTTAGATATTTTATTAATTAAAAAATATTCAAATAAAAATCGCGGTGCTCACGTTCTACGTGTAATTTTTTTTGTGATTTGTTAAATACTAATAACTTAAAAGATATTATAAATATAATAGATTAATATTATATTTAAAATTTTTTAAATTATCTACCTAATATTATTATACTTAAGATAATTTGAAAGTTTGGTGACGTKGRGGAAATAAATCATAGGTAAATACAAACGTTTTACCGCATTATTATATTATAACTCATGACTATGACCCAGATTTAAATGCCCTAGAATAAGAACTATACA